AATTGAATTTCTTTTCCTGAGAATGAGTTATTTAATTTTTTTCTATTTCTTGTTCTATTAATCTGTCTTTCATATTTTCAAAAAAAAATTATTGATTTCACTTTTTTGTATACAATTGGGTAAAAGTTTGTGAATAAAATGAGTTAATAGAAAATAGTCTCTAGTAATTTTCCTTGTTTCTTTTTTTTTGCATGTTGTAAATTTTCTTTTTTCTTTCCTTTGTTTCTTTTTTTTTGTACTGATACTCTCTAAAAAATTAGTGACTAGTTTACATATTTTGTTAGTTGAAAAAAAGTTCCTTGTCAAATTTGTCAATTCAGTATGTTTGAGTAAATTAAGAAGTTGATGTAGGATTCAAATTTGAGTCTTCCTGACTCCAAGGCCTGTACTCTAGCTACTATGTAGTACAGCTTCCAGAATAGTCAAAACTCTCAATAGCTCTAGCTATGAATCCAGTGAGGCAGTGCTGATACGATTAAGAATTAGCCGAAACTCTTCCTCAGGCTTGCTTAAATGGCACGGTTATAATTCTACTTTCTTCACCCTGGATAGGCCTTCTTGGCTAATATTTAGAGATATCCCTTTGTTACCTCTCCTCTTCCCACTAATATCCTGATTGGCAATACAGTCACTGCCACAGCATGTACTTTGTCTGAAAACCCCATGAAAGCTAGAAATCCTTGTGGCTCTGGGCCTTCAGTCAACTTGAGTATATATTTTTATTTATATGTGTGTGTTTGTATATGTATTTGTGTTTGGTTGGGAGTATTAATAAACCATTTTAACTTATCCTAGTATTCTTAAGTGAAATTGATCCAGACTTCATTTTAAATTTGCTTGACACTGCCTTTGTTTTGTTTAGCTCTTCTTTGATTTTGAGAGTTTCTATTTTGGAGTTTCTATGGGACTTTTTGGTTTGTTGCTTTTCTATTCTTTTGTGCGACTGATGCACTGATTTGTTCTACCTTTTGTTAAGATTTTTGGCCAGATGAATGTTTCCATAATGATACAAGTTTGGGTCCATCTACAGTTTGGTATGTTTTTTCGTTGTTGTCGTTTTATTTAATGGAGTTATATAATGTTATTATGATTTGTTCTTTGACCCACAAATTCTTTATGATTAAATTATTTGGTCTCCATTTTAGTTTGAAGTTTTTCTTCAAAAACTTTTTATTGATTATAATTTGAAGTAGATAGTGTTCAATAAATAATTATTTAATCATTTTAAGCATTTGTTTATGAATATTTTATGCCTAGGAAATGTTTAATTTTTGTGAGCATGCAAAAAAGATAAGAATATATACATTCCTTTTCTATTTCCAGAGATCTAGTATTTCTAATTTTTGTAAAATGTTATCCAGTTCCATAACTTATCTTGTTTTCTTTTTGAAAGTTTAAGGATGATGTTATTCAATCCTTAGTTGAGTGTTTCTTCTTTTGACACATATATACATAATATTTCATGTGTATGGTTATATTATATATAAATATAAATAGATATAAATCCAGGTTCTTTATCATTTCATCTTCATCTTTATCTTGATTCATATCTATGATCATATTCATGTCTACATTTTCTAATCTATATCAACTTAATCTATCTCTATCTCTATAGGTATCGCTTCCACATTGCAGGGTTCAGGGTCATGGTACCCCCACAATCCAGGAAAATCTGTGTAAAATTTTTTTAGCCTTCCCTTCTTATGAGGGAAGGAGTCTGAATTTTTTTCTTTTTCTTTTTTTTTGGATGTTTATAGTACCTTATTGTAAAATTTGGGTTAATATTGTATTTGTGTTCCTTTCAATTTTAGTGACCCTGTGACTAGCACACCAGTCCCGTTTAACTATTTGATATCTGTTACTTTTTACAAAGAGATATTTACTTCAAAGATATAGCAAGAACATAAAATATCTTCTCCAACTCCTTGAGATATAATCCCAGTTCCCACCCCACTCCCTCTTTCTGCCCTGTGCTCTACTCCCCAAAACACATCACCTCAGCCTCTGGGGAGATGAGGGAAATAAAGCTCATTAGACTTAGCAGGATTCCTATATAGCATTAGTCAGTCAGTTAAAATATTTATTAAATATCTACTATGTTCCAGGCACTGTGCTAAGAATTTGGGATATGAATACAAAAAGAAAAAGAAAAATAGCTCCTGCTCTCAAAGACCTTATAATCTACTGGGGGAAGGAAACACACACACACACACACACACACACACACACACACACACACAGAGTTAACAAGGAGGTAGAGAGTAAGGAAGCGTAATGGAGATGTCCCAAGAAGTCCAAAGGAATGCAACCTGGTGAGAAATGAAAAGTCTTGCTAAGTCCAAAGCCTACTTTGCTGACTTAGTGGCCACATCCCTGAATCCTTGCTTCCCAGGACTTTGCTGCTGAACTGACTCTAACACCCCCACATCCCAATGAGTGTTTCTCCCAGTTTGGAAACTCCATTTTCTGTACCTAGAATGGAGGATGAAGGAAAAGGCCATAACTCCAGGCCTGTTTCTGAGGGCAACATGGTCAGGGTAGGGGGAGAGGCATCCCTTAGACCTTCCCTCCCTTTTCCCATTGTGTCACCTGCTATGAATAAAAGAGTCTTTCATCCTCAGACATGAATTCAGGAAAAGTCCCAACTTTGCTATCAGGCAGTTTTAATGCCACAGATAGTTCTGTTATGAAGTCAATGGGGAATACAAACACTCCTCCCTACCATATGGTGGGCCAACACAAAGTGCCTACTCTTTTTTCAATCCTCCAGTCTCCCAGAAGTTACTTCCTTAGTATTGTCTATCTGGGTAATGGCATCTTCTAAGCATGTGTCAGACTCCCATTATAATCTACCCTATTTGAAAAATTTACTGTCTGCAGAAATGAGGCAAGAGTGTATTGTGAATACAATGCCCACATCCCTAATTTGGAGCAGTTGTCTGTGTTCTCTGGGGAGTCATAAGTATTGTCCTTTCATTTGATTTCATAGAACCAAAGAGGAAAGATCCTTAAAACAGTCAATGTGGCATGATCATATATAGTCCCACATCTGAAGAGGAAATCAGTTATCTCCAAATGCAAAGTTTTGCAGATTCAGCAATAAAGAAACATGTTACCAAATTCACCAAAGATTATTTGTTTAGTACTCAATGGGTATCTAATTTAGTGTTCCAATAACAACATTCCTCAACTCTCAAGCAAAAAACAAGACCAAAAAAAAAAAAAGACATAAGCAAAGAAAATTGGTTTCTTGTCTCAGAAGGAAATATGGCTCCTACAGAGCTTTCCAGACCACATGGAGGTTCTTCCATATGGATTTAGGCATTATCCATCACTCTCAGATGAGAAAACTATCCTGAACGAAAATTTTTCTATTATTCCCTCATGGAATATAGCCATTCAACTGGGGTCTACATTATCTAATTGTCCCTCCCTATACAGAACACATCAAAATTCTCCAGGGCTCCAGGTACAATAGCTGATCCCCTAAGAAATATAGGCAAATTTTGTCTGAATTCTTATTCCAAAGGGCACCATTTTCCTACAGTGGACTGTGGCCTTTGAAAGAATAAGAGATATACAATTACAAACTCATCCAACAGTAAACATAGGCTCAGTTAGAGAAATAGAAAGTGAATATTTGGGGTTTCTTGGAACACAGACACTTCCTTATGAAGTTACCAGACATATAATTCTCATAATAATGCAAACTTTCTAGGTCTGTTTAAATGAAAAAGAAAAAAATAACATTTGCAACTAGGTAATATCTTTCTGGTGATATAAACTCTATATTTCTCACATTAGACTCAATAAAAATACCTATTCAAGATTCAGCAGTATAGCAAGTATTAGTATCTAAATACTCAAGGAATCAACAAATGCAAAGTTTACAAAATTGTCTCAATAGAAGTAGCTCGTGAGGGACAAATTGGGGAAAAAAAATCAATCTTACAATTCCAGCCAATATTGTTGTTTTTATAGTTGTTTTTTGTTGTTACATTATTATTGGTGTTATCATTATTTTGCCAATTTCTCTAGGATCTTACCAACTGTATCCAAATTTAAATGACCAGATAGAGAACTTCTCTAGATGTTCCCACAGATGTGAAGGGCTCAACTGTATCCCTTACAGTTGTTCCGCATGTAAAATGGGTTTGTTCTAGTCCCACTCTATCATAGCCAGACCTGTTATAGTTTACCTCTCTGGTACTCTGGTAGGGTCTTCTCTCCCACTGGTTTAAGCCTCCATCAACCACATTCTCCCCAATTTGAGGGGCCTTGTGACTAGCACCCCACTTCAATTTAACCATTTCATATTGAATTAGCTTTTACAAAGGGATATTTACTTCAGAGATATAGCAAAAGCAAACATAAAAATATTTTCCCCAAAGCCTCAGGGGTGTATATCCTTCCTTCCTTATTTCCTCTGTTTCTGGAGAAGGGAGGAAGATTAGGTACATAATGCAGGTACATTTCTACATAGCAGTAGACCTACCAAGTTAAGGGCCAAAGGACTACTGAGTTGGTGTGCCTGTGCCTGGACCCTTGCTCTCCAGGGCTTCACTACTGGACTGGCTGCAATACCCAGTCTAGGTTCCTGTATCTCAATGGCTTGAATTCCTAGATAGATATCTAGGCTTTACTTTAAAATTTTCCCCTGGAAAATAAGTTAGTATATTAGAGGAAATAATTGGATAATAAGAACTATGGAAGACAGGAGTAGAAAGATTATCACAAAAGATATAAAATCTTATCCTAGCAACAAACTCTTTGAAAGTTATAATGGACTGGAAATGAGTTAATGATTCCATAAGATAACGAGAAATATTAAAATCAATTAAAAAGATTGAAAACATGGAAGAAAAGGTAACATCTCAGATCATCTGACCTGAAAAATAGACCCAGTTGAAGAATCATTGGATTAGCTGAAAGCAGTGACCAAAAAGATTCCCAATGGCTTCTTAACTGAACAGAATGTTACCAATGAAAATTTAGCAAGGGTGCTTACTTTAGAAGCACAGATAATAACAAGGGAAATACACAGAGAAGATCAGCATGGTCCTTGTGCAAGGATAACACACAAATTCATAAAGCATGCCTATTAAAAAAAACAAAAGAAAATTAAGCAAGAAAAAAATAGCTAATAATGTTCACCAATTGCTACAGATTTGGCAGGTTGGAACCAGATCTATGATTTCATTGGTGAAGGAAACTCATGGTACAAAAACTCCTTCCACCAATGCAGATAAGCATCTTTTTTTTTGAACCTCATAGTCTTAGCTGGCCACCTGGGGATGCCATGTAAGCTAGGTGGCACAGAGGATGGAATTCCAGGCCTGGAGTCAGGAAAACTTATATCTTTGGTTCAAACCTGGCCCCAGACACTTACTAGTTGTATGGCCCTATGCAAGTCATTTAACCCTATTTGCCTCAGTTTCCTCATTTATAAAATGAGCTGGGGAAGGAAATGACAAACCACTCTAGTATCACGGCCAAGAAAACCTCAAGTGGAGTCATGAAGAGTTGGACAGGATTGAACAACAACAACAAAAGTCTTAGCTGATGGGGCCAACTGGGAGATTAAATGACTTACCCAGGGTCAGACAGCCAGTATATATCAGAGGCTTGAGTTCAACCCAGGTCTTCCTCACCCTGAGGCCAGTTTTTTATCACCTATGTCACTGGATGCCTCTATATATATTAAGAACATAATAAATGTATCAGAAATGAATGCCCCACCATGACATCACTATCTGTCTGTGTGTCTGTGACTCTATCTCTGTCTCTCCATATCTCTGGCTCTGTCTCTCTGTTGGGATTCTCAATTTCCCTAAGTAGATAACTGGGGAGAAAGAAACATATATCATTCACCTCCTTAGAGTGTGAGAAATGAAGTTTGTGAACCTTAAAATGATACAGAAATGGGAAATTACAATAAAAAACGTGGGCTACTGAGAAATTCAAGCAGGAGAGGAGTTGCAGTGGAGATTCTATTCTTGAGACTTTCCAGTCTTTTTAATTAAAAAAATGTTATGTAATTATAAGTGACCTTTTTGGGCTTCCTTATCTTTGAATCACATCCATAAAAAAAAGGTTTTGTCTTCATCTCCACCAGCCAATCTAGCTAACAGTATTAGTTGAATTACTGGTTCAGTTGAACCATCAGTCACCTTAGTCAATTAATTGACCATTTGGGTACTGAAACCACCTGCAATTTTGGTGTCATAAAGACTAAGTTTGGCTTCTTTAATTGGATCCCGGGGAGTTCAGAGCTGCCTCCGAGCATTGTATCCGAGTGACAGGAAAGCTGGCTTGTCAACAGCCTCAGTCCTTCACCTCCTTATTTCACTCTCTTTTCTCCTTAGTCTCACTCATTTTTTCAGTGTGTGTGAAGATTGCCAAGTCCCCTCTGGAGGGGGAGAAGAAGTTAGTACTCTAAATCCCTAATTCCTCAAAGTAATTTTGGAGCAGGATATATGTTCTGGGCAGTCTTCAAAGTTGGGCAACACCACACACAATTTCTCCCTCCAGAAGTGAGTATTCTGCATACTTTCTTATCCCAAAGTTAATTAGTCAATTTACTGAATACCATAAAATAAGCCCCAGAACACCTGAGCCCAGGAAATCCCACATCACCATTTATATATGAGCTGAGAAAATAGCTTGAATTTGGATTTGACCAATTCAGAACAAGCAAGTATAATTAGCCAAAATCCAGTGCCTTGTTGGAGAGGCAATCTAACCTCCCAAGGAAGTGGGAATGCCACCTGCTGGTGTTTCATCAACAAAGAAATCTTATTTTAGATCTCAATGTCTAGAATCTCTAGGTTCTACATCTCCAGATGCCATTTTGCGTGAGAACAGAGTACAGTAGGGCTTTTTTAGGTCTGATGATTTTAGAAGTATTAACACTAAACTCACTGAATGTCAGTGTTGGAAGGGAACTCAGAGTACAGTCTATACTGGGAATAACACTCCCCTCAACAACATTGTTAATACTTTGTTAGAAGACCTCAGGTGACAGGGAACTCACTACATCCTGAAGCAACCTCTTCCATTGTGGATAACTCATTGTTAGGGAATTTTTCCTTACATAGGGTTTCCAGAGAGGACAACGGGATATAGTGTAAAATGGGATTAGCCTGGAATTAGACTTGAGTTTTACTAATATTTCAGGCACTTACTGGCTTAGTGACCTCTCTGAGCCTCAGTTTCCTTATATAAAAATGGTGTTAACACAATAGTACCTGAAATCACTAATTAATGGAGATAGTGTGAGCATTTAATGTTATAATGCATTAAAGCACTTTTGAAAAATCAAAGCATTCTATAATGGTAAGTAACTGTTATACATCAAACCTAGATATTAGTCCCTGAAACTTTTTTGATACATTTGTCTCAGTTCCCTATATATTTGAGAAATTAGACCTTTATCAGAGAAAATTTCTGTAAATCCCACCCCCCCAGTTTCCTGCTTTCCTTCTAATTCTGACTACATTTTTTTTGTGTGTGCAAAAAACCCTTTTTAACTTCATGTCATCAAAATTATCCATTTTGCCTTCCATGATCCTTTCTATATCTTCTTGGTCATAAATCCTTCCCTTACCTGTAGATCTTACAGGTAATTTTTTTCTGTGCTTACTTTATTTACTTATGATAACACCTTTTATGTACCAATCACGTAACCATTTTGTGGTTATCTTGGTACACAGTGTGAAATGTTGGTCTATACCTAGTTTCCGCCAGACTACTTTCCAGTTTTCCAAACTGTTTTATTGTCAAATAGTGAGTTCTTGTCCCAATATCTGAGATTTCTGGGTTTCTCAAACACTAGGTTACTGCACTCATATGCTTCTAAATATTGTGCACCTAATCTATTCCATCAGTCAACCACTCTATTTCTTATCCAGTACCAAACTGTTTTGATGATTGCCATACTGTTTGAGATCTGATACTGCCAGCCCCCTTCTTTGTCTCTTTTTAATATTGATTCCCTTGATATTCCTGACCTTTTGTTCTGCTAGATGAATTTTCTTAGTGTTTTTCTGGTTCAAGTCATTCTTTAGCAGTTCAACTGGCATTGCACTGAATAAGGCATTTTATTTTGGCAGTATCATCATTTTGTTGAATTGGCTCAGTCTACCAATGAGCAATTAATATTTCTCCAATTTTTATAATTTGTATTTATTTATGAGAAAAGCATTCTTGTAGTTGTGTAATTGTGTGTGTCTTGACAGGTAGAACTTCCTAAGTATTTTATACTTTTTGAGGTTATTTTAAATGGGGTATCTCTTCCTGCTGATTTTGTATTGTTATTGTATTTTGTTGAAAGATTTTTGTACACCTATATATACATATACATATATATATAATCATATGATTTTTAATTGATATAATCTATTTTCCTTTTAATTTTCCCAATATTGGACCCATCCTGTATTCCTGGTATAAGTCTAGCCTGGGGAAAGAAGTACTGTAAGCAAAAGATATTTCTTGATTTTTGATGGGATAGATTAAAAGGGAAAACATGAAAAGCAAAGAACTAGAATTTAGAAAGTACCTTATATTGCCTTTAAGACTACAGGGCAATGACTAAACAAAGTGTACTTACATTACATGAGTGGAACACAATATTATTGTGCTGTAACAAATAAGGAAAAAATGATTTTAGGGAATGCTATGTGATATGAACTGATACAGAATGGAGTGAGCAGAATCAAGAGAACAATTCTTATGAAAAAGCAACACTATAAGACAACTTTGAAAATATAAGAATGTTGATTAATGCAATGAATAACTATCTCCAGAATACCTGTAATGAAGCATGTTGCCCAACTCCTAACAGACTTGATGGGCACAAGACATAGTGATACATTTTTGAACACAATCAATCACCATGTGGATTCATTTCACTTGACTACGTTAATTTGTTGCCAAGTTTTTTTCTTTCTTTGTTTCTTTTTCCTTCTTCCTCCTCCTCCTTCTCTCTCTTCTATTCTCCCTCCTTCACTTACTCTCTTCCTCCTTCCCTCCCTCCATCCCTTCCTTTCTTTCCTTCCTTCCTCCTTTTCTTCCTTTCCTTCTCCTTGACTCCTTCCCTCCATACTTTCCTTTTTCCCTACCTTCTTCCCTTCCTTCTTTCTTTTCTTCCTCCTTCCTTCCCTCCTTTCTCTTTTTTCCTTCTTCTCTTCTTTCATCTTTTTTTCTCTCTCTTTTTGATTAGAGTAAATGGAGATGCAGAGAGAAGGAGATTGACAATAGTGATCCCCACCAATGAGGGCCATGGAAACATTATACATATGTGTGTATATATATATATATATATATATATAACTATATATGTCATATATATATGAAAAGAACAGAGAGAAATTCAGTAGGAAACATAAAGAAGTAAGTCCATTTTGAAAATAGCATAGAATTTATTACGCTTCTTAAAAAGCCTGCTGCATGAAGTAAAGATTATGTCATATAGAATCGTCTTTTTTGTTCCATTGTGTATTTGGAAATACTCTTTTTTTGGCATTTAAGTTAAGAATTTTAAAAAGGGAGAAAAAATGACATGACTGTTGGTAGAGAATTGCCACCAGGACAAGACCAAGGTCATGCATCTGGAAGGAGTAACTCTTTAAGGACAAGGTACTACTGAGTGAAGGCGGAAGAGGAAGGACCTGAAGGAGGAATGATGAGGAGGAAATGTGGCTACTCAGCCTCCTGGCCCAGTGTGTGTCTGTGTGTGTGTGTGTGCATGAGTGTGCACGTATGCACACACACATGTGCATGTTTATACATGCGCACATGTGTATATGCAATACACATGCTAAGTGCACTTGCATGTGTGTGCATATGTGTGTATAAGTGCACATGTATGTGTGTGCACATGCATACGTATGTTTATGTGTGCATGTGTGTGTGTGTGTTGAAACAGGGAGGTGGACATAAGAGAAGGTTTATCTGGTGCTAGAAACAGCGGCTAGGGATCAAGTGTATTCAAGAGAGAGCTAGTGAGAAGATGGAAGTGGTAAGATAGAGAGGATAATGTGAAGGGCAGTTAGTTAACATTAGAGCAAGAATTCTCTAGGAACGAGAGTATGGACAATCCCCATA